AGGCAAAAGTGGACATTGGTCTTCTGGAAAATGAGGCGGGGAAGTAGCAATGGGGAACAAAGAAATGGTGGAGAAACTGAATCAGTATTTTGCATCAGTCTTCATGTTGGAAGACACCAGCAGCATAGCAGAACATCAAGAGAGTTGGGGCAGAGGTGAGTGTAGTAGCCATCAATAAAGAGAAGGTGCTCGGGAAACTGAAAAGTCTGAAGGTGGATACATCACCTAAACTGGACCACACTCCAGAGCTCTGAAGGAGATAACTGAGGAGATTGTGGAGGCATTGGTGGTGATCTTTCAGGAATCACTGGAGTCAGAGAGAGTCCCAGAGGACTGGGGAATGGTTAATAGGATAGCCCGTTTAAGAAGGGAGGGAGGCAGAAGACAGGAAGCTATAGGCCAGTTAGCCTGACCTCAGTTGTTGGTGAGATCTTAGAGCCAATTATTAAGGATGAGATTGTGGAGTATTTGGAAGTCCTTGGTAAAATAGGGTGGAGTCAGCACGGCTTTGTCAAGGGGAGACCATGCCTGACAAATCTGTCAGAATTCTTTGAGGAGGTAACGAGTAAGTCAGACAGAGGGGAGCCAGTGGACGTGATCTATTTGGATTTCCAGAAGGCCTGTGACACGTTGCCACACAGGAGACTGCTATATAAGATAAGAACAAATGGTGATATACATTCATTTACAGTGTGCTAGCCTTTAGTAGCAAGGAAGACATCAAAGTCTCAGGACTTTGCAGAAACACAGAAAGCTTGGGGTGCAATCATTTTCTCCTGCTCTCTGCTTGTAGGCTTTTCAGGTTGAACATATCATCAAAACCTCTTGTGAATAGCAGCAGACATGGGGTTATTTGCTAAATTCAGTCGAGGGTTTCAACTGCTTCCTTGAAACAATCCAGTCAATGCTATAAACTTTCCATTCCATGGTAAGGTGGGTGTCATGTTGGCCATATGCACAATGCTGATAGCGGGTGGATTATTATAGCCCGCACCCAGCATCAGGTCTCTCTTGATAGGGCTGGGGCTAATTGAGGAACAGGGGGTAGTTAGAGACTGAGGTGCTGGGGATAGTTGGTGCTTGTTAGGGGACTGGGGCATAGTTTGGGGAACTGAGGACAGTTGGTGTTAGGAGACTGGGCAGGTACTTGGTGGTTCTGGGAGTTCTAGATATTGTTGATATTTGTTCGGGGAATTTTCGGCAGTTGCTGTTTCTTTGGGTTTGGGACCCATTGTTGTATGTAGGAGTACTGTGAAGAGTTGGTGCTTTTGTTGTGTGGTGCAGGATAGTTTTATGCATTGCACAATACTAGTATATCTGTCAGAACATGATAGTGAGTCGTACAGATATACAGTACAGAAACAGACCCTTCTGTCCAACTCCTCCATGCCGGTCAGATATCCAAAGTTAATCCAATCCCATTTGACCCCTATCCCTCTAAACCCTTCCTAGTCATATACGCATCCAGATGCCTTTTGGATGGACTGATGTATAAGGAGAGGTTGCATTCAGAAGGAAACACAAAGTGGTAAAACACGAAGGAGTGAAACCTATCTTTTGGGAGGACCATTTTACTTGCTGAAATCAGAGGCAAGGCAGGTGCTAACTTGACACGAGAGTGTCAGTTTGTGAAATGAAATGTTGATGCCAGGCTGAAACAGGATCCATAACAGAGAGATGTAAGTGTGATTTAAAAATACATTGGGACTCAGCTATGGCTAGACCTGTTGAACACCTTCCACCATAGTGTGCAATAAGTGGCAAACTCCTTTTGAAATAACAGCCTGAAACCACCTGTATGATGCAAACCCTTTGAAACAGGGAAAACCAACTGAAATTTTCAGTTACGACCGGCAAGCAGGATTGTTTTACTCTCTGCTGATGATGGTATCAAGGCCCTAGGAGCTTCAGGTTGGGGGAGTTACAGATTTGCAAAGTCAAGAAAAGCTCACACCAAAACAGAGAGACTTATATTAACTACATCCAAACCTTAATTCAGTCACTGCTATGATCAAAGGTAATACCAAAAGACATGCCAAGACTAGCATGCCTCAAAATGCAGTGTTAACCTGATGAAAATGCAACACAGGATTATGTGGATGCCAAACAGTGGATAGGGCTTGGAATGGATAGGCTAAGCAATTCCACAACTAACAGAGTGTGTGTGAACTCTGCAGGCATGCCATATCCTATTGGCTCTGACAATATTCTGGTAATCATATTGAAGATTTAAGTTTGCACCCCTAGCCAAGCTTTTCCAGTACTGTTACAACATTGGCATATAGCCAGCAATATGGAAAATCGTCCTGGTATGTCCTGTACGTAAAATGCAGGAGGAAACCAACCCAGTTAATTACCTCCTAACCAATGCACTTTTGAACAGCATTAAAGTGATGGAAGGGGTGGTCGACAGTGCTATCAAACATCATTTGCAAAGGAGTAACTTGCTTACTGATGCTCACTTTAGATTCTGCCAGGGGGACTCAGCTCCTGACCTCATTACAGCCTTAGTCCTAGCACACAGAAAACAACTGAATTCCAGAGGTGAGGTGAGAGCAACAGCCCTTGACATCAAGGTCACAATTGACTGAGTGAGGCATCAAGGAGCCCTAGCAAAATCGAAGTCAACGTGAAACGGAGAAAACCTCTCAGCCAGAGTTACATTTTGAGATAAAAAGATGGTCATGATTGTTGGAGGTCAATCATCTCAGCTCCAGGACATCTCTGCAGGAGTTCCTCAGGGTAGTGTCCTAGGCCCAACCATCTTCAGCTGCTTCATCAATGGCCTTCCCTCCATCATAAGGTCAGAAGTGGGAATGTTCGCAGATGATTGCACAATGTTCAGCACCATTCGTGACTCCTCAGATTCTGAAGCAGTCTGTGTTCAAATGCTACAAGATCTGGACAATATCCAGGCTTGGGCTGACAAGTGGGTGGCTTGGTGGCTCAGTGGTTAGCACTGCTGCCTCATAGTGCCAGGAACTCTGGTTCAATTCCAGCCTTGGGTGACTGTCTGTGTGGAGTTTGCATGCTCTCCCCATGTCTGAGTCCAAAGCTGTGCAGGTTAGGTGGATTGGCTGAGCTAAACTGCCCAGTAGTGTGCAGGCTTGGTGGGTTAAATGTGGGTTGGATGGGCTCTATATGTACTGTAAGGATTCTATAATTCTAAATGGCAAGTAACATTCACACCACACAAGTGCAATAACAGCCTCCAACAAGAGAGAATCTAACCCCCATTGCTCTTTGATGTTTAATGGCATTACCATGAATGAATCCTTCACTACCAACATTCTTGGTGTGATCTTCAACCAGAAACTGAACTGCACTCGCCATACAAGGTCAAGTCAAAAGCTGGGAATACTGCGGCGTGTAACTTACCTCCTGATTCCCCAAAGCTTGTCCCACCATCTACAAGGGCACAAGTCAGGAGTATGATGGAATACTCCCCACTTGCCTGGATGAGTACAACCCCAACAACACTCAAGAGGCTTGACGCCATCCAGGACAAAGCAGCCCACTTGATTGGTACTACATCCACCACCTTCAACATTCACTCCCTCCAACACCAATGCTCAAGGACCATAGTCTGTGCCATCTACAAGAACACACTGCTGAAATTCATTCAATCTCCTTTGAGGTCACAACCACTATGGCTCAGAATGACCAGGGCAGCAGATGATGGGAACCCCACTGCCTGCAAGATCCCCCACCAAGTCACACACCACCCTGACTTGGTAAAATATCGCCGTTCCTTCGCTGGTGCTGGGTCAAAATCCTGAAACCCCCTTTCGATCAGCACTGTGGGTGTTCCTACATCTCATGGACTGCAGCAATTCAAGAAGGCAGCTCGCCACCACCTTCTCCAGGGCAGTTAGGGATGGGCAATAAGTACGGATCTTGCCAGCGATGCCCGTGTCCCCTGAACGAGTAGAAAAAAAGCCAAAGTACAAAATGAGAAAGACCTGTTTGCCAATTCACTTTCCATTGCCAGGGAAAAGTCTCCAGCAGATAAGTTTTGGTTTTCGAAGTCAGGGAGAAAAAGGATTGCTTTAAAATTCTAAAGTGGAAGTAGTTATGTAACAAGGAACCAAGTATGCATTTACCTTGAACAAAGAGAGTCCCCATTCCTTTTCCATATAAAAATCAATGTGTTACCATTTATTTTTAAACTCTAGTAAACTCAAATGATTTGCAACAGAAGAAATTGTTTACTGGAGCTAGGTGTGTCACCTTGTGAATAAGCCAACATGCTAACTGCAATGAGGAGTAATAAAATCAACTTCAGTACAAAATGATCTCAGAAAAAAAAAGTAATTGAAAGCAGCATTTTAAAAATAAGAAGCGTGTTTTTATTCTCATCTGCAGTTTGAGGCTAATCGTTCTTTCAGTTCGAAGAGAGCCACCTGGATCCAATCTTCTAAAGATGCCAGGACCAGATTTAGTCCCACCAATTCACTAAAGAAATCACATTGGATTGAACACAGGGTGCTCTCTGCCTGGTACAAGCACTTGCCAAACATGCCAATGTCCAAATCTAACAAAAGCTTGCCAATGGTTTCAAAGGAGTTGAATTCGCACAAAAACAAACCTGACAAAGTATGAAGAACCAACAATTAAAACGCGGTGCTGACTATAGATGGGTAACTGTCTCATCAGTTTGTTTAAGTGGAGTTCAATTTTTATTAGAAAGATTTCCAACAATTCTGTCCATGTATGAACCAATGTCAGTGCCCTTACTTGACTCTGAATTTAGGCTCCAACCCCATATCCTCTCCATTACCAAAACTGGCTACCATTAAATAAAAACTGAAAGAACTGCGGATGCTGTAAATCAGGAACAAAAACAGAAGTTGCTGGAAAAGCTCAGCAGGTCTGGCAGCATCTGTGAAGGAGAAAACAGAGTTAACGTTTCGGGTCCGGTGACCCTTCCTCAGAACTGGGTTCTTCCTCAGAATGGTACATTTCCACTGCTTCAATGCTTGCCAGCCTCTCTCATTGCAATGCCGCTGCAAGACAGCTTTGAGCACAAGATCAGGAACCCAGCTCACAGACCGGACCAGGCTCCATCTCAGGGCTGCTTGCTGGCTCCTAGCGCTCAGTTACTGCCTGCTGGGATCCTCACACCATCCCTGTCCTGCCCATTTACGGCTTTGCAACCTCAGCCAAAGCTAACAGGAGCTCGGTCCTTGTGTCCTGACTTGACTTTAGGTGTGGACACAAAGCCAGGGAGCCTGTTCATAGCTGTCAGCAGCGACCAGTCAACAGGCATGGGTGTGTTCAGTCAGTCAATAACCTCCAGTGTTGTCCACGAGTTTGGACATAGCATCTCCGCGTGGTCAGAGACAGGATCCTCTCCATAAAGGGACTGAGGAGCTGAGCTTTGAAAAGCCCACCACCTGTATCGGCCCATTCTCCTCTAGCATGGGCCATTTCTTCCTAGACTGGAAGAGACTGAGTGAGATGGAAATGGGTACATGGCTGTTAGTGCTGGTGCAGGGAGTGTGGGGGGGGGGGGGGGGGGGGGGATGCGGTGAGGTGAATGGATTGTGTGACTGAGTGAGGGCACAGCACAGAGGCCATGCAGGGTGAGTGATGTGGAGGAATTGGGTGGTTAGGAGCAGGTGAGGGTAGAGGTTGAATGCAGCGGTGAGAGCAATAGAGGGTGAATGGTAGGTGCAGAGACACAGAGAGAGAGAAAAAGAGAGAGAGAGAGAGGATGGCGACTATCACTCTGACACTTCTGCCTGCATTGCTGGGAATTCCATCAGATGGCTGAGGTAGCACTGACTCAGTTGTCCATCTCGAACCACACTGTCAGGGTCTGGCTCCCTTCTACTGGTCTAGGGGAAAAACATATCCTTCCCCTGCATCATCCTGTCCACCAGAAGAGCCAGCTACTTTCCCACAAACACTGTGCCAAATTCCCCTGGTCCACCATTTCTGGGCCATGTTTCACAAGCTGTGCATGTCACCTCCAGGATCTCTGGCTTTTTAACACAGTGTGAAGCTGGAGGAACACAGCAGGTCAGGCAGCATCTGACGAAAGGTCCCGACCCGAAACGTCAACTTCCTCCGACGCTGCCTGGCCCGCTGTGTTCCTTCAGCTCTACACTATGTTATCTCTGACTCCAGCATCGGCAGTTCTTACTATCTCTCCGGCTTCATAATGTCTTTTTCGAAAACTTTTCTTAATTTCAAAAATATACTTTATTCGTAAAAAATACCTTTACACACATACGTAGCCACTGAAGCAGTTTGGTTCTGTACAGTAACATGTGGAGACACAAATAAACATCGCAGTTTGACTCTATCCAGCAAACAAACCCGAGGCATTTCATAGTCGTACAAGATTGTATTTAAATATATTTGAGGGACTGGGAGGGTCCAATGACTGAATGGACCCCCATTTAACTTTAGCAGGAAGACCTCAGATGGTGGTCTTTCCCCAATGTACCTTGGCAGCAGGTGCCCCAAGCTTTAGTGTGTTCCTCAGCACGTAGTGCCAGACCTTGGAATGTGCCAGTCTGCAACATTGGGTTGAGGGTTAGCTCCAAGGCAGCATGCAATGGCATAGCCTGACTGGGCTTACATAAAGGATCTCACAGGTAGTGCCCTTCTCACCACCAGCCAATGTCTTGGTGCTTGTTGGAAATTTCTGGTGATGAGGCATTCTGCCAAATGACTTCGACAGTCTGCTCAGGGGACCAGGTGATGGGATCCACCCTCTCCCTATCCCTTAGGATCTCCAGGATGCTACATGTTGACCACTTCCTGATGAACTTGTGGTCAAAGGTGTTTTTCTTCACAAGTTTCTCTACGAGGGACGGGGGGTGCAGGACTGCCCAACCACTTGGAGCATTCCACGGCAGTGAGGCTGCTGTCATCCCTCACAATAACAGGGACAGGCAGAACCTCAATACATAGTGACACTTGGTGTTTATATACCAAGGGTCCATGCACAGCATGATGCAACCACACAAAGATGGCCATCAGGATGAGGGCAACGTTAGGGATGTTCATCCTGCTTTATCCAGAGCTTTGTATATGGAGTCCTTGCAGACACGGTCCACCATGGACCTCCAGGCGAAGTGGAAGATGGCTTGGGTAACTCAAACAGTGCAGTTTTGGGGGATGGACCAGACCTGCACCAAGTATAACATAGAGAGTGCCTCACACCTGATGACTAGGTTTTTACCTGCAATGGAGAGGGAGCGGTGCTCCCAGAGGACCAGTTTCTGTTTCACTTTGGCAATGTGCTCCTCCCAACACTTTGTGCATGCCTCGGCCCCCCGAACCATATTCCCAGTACCTTCAGGTAATCTGTCCTACCCTTGAAGGGAATGAAGGATTGGTTGGCCCAGTTCGCAAAGAACATGGCCTCGCTCTTGCCTCGATTTACCTTGGCTCCCAAGGCCAGTTCGAACTAATCGCCGATGCTCATGGGTCTGCGCACTGACAGTGGATCTGAGCAGAAAATGGCAGCATCATCCATGCACAGGGAGGCTTTGACCTTGCAGACCCCCACTGCCTGGAATAGTCACCTCTCTCAGGCTCACATTCTTCCTGATGGACTCAGAAAAAGGCTCTAAACAACACACAAACAAGGCAGGAGAGAGTGGGCAGCCCTGCCTGACGCCGGATCTGATCGGGAAGCTCTCTGATTCCCATCCGTTGATTGAGAATGCGCTAACAATGTTGGTGTAGAGCAGTCGGATCCAATTGCAGACTCCCTCCCCAAAGCCCATTTTGGAGACCACGTTCCACATGAATGTATGCGATATCCTGTCAAAGGCCCTTCTTCTGGTCCAGGCAGAAGTCCACCCCCTTGGCTAGCACATAGGCGATTGTATCCCCGAGGAACGTCAGGCTCTCAGAGATTGTCCTGCCTGGTACAGCACAGTTTTGGTCAGGGTGAATCACAGACCCCAGAGAAGACCTGACCCTGTTGGCAATGGACTTAGAAAGGATTTTGTGGTCTGCATTCAGCAGTGAAATTGGTTCCAATGTCTAATTTCCTCCCTCCCCTCCTTCCACTTGTAGATGAGGGCGATGATACCTTTCCTCATGGATTCGCACATAGTACCTGCCAAATGCATAATGTTGTTCACCTCTAGCAGGTCCTGGCCAATCAAGTCCCACAGAGCTGAATACAGCTTGGACGGTAAGCTGTCGCTTCCAGAGTTTTATCCTTTTCAAATGACTCCAGAGCCTTGGTCAGCTCTTCCAGAGATATCGGCTGGTCCGTCCTCTCCCATGTGCTGTCATCTAAGAGCCCTGTGATAGAGGACAGGAGCGACTGTCAGCGGGCTTCGTGTTATATGAAGGATTTGCTGATCCTAAGGATGTCAGTCTGAGATGATGTTACCGAGCCATCTTCTTCCCTCAGGCTGCTGGGCACAGAGCTCTCCCTTCTGTGCACCTTCTGGAAGAAGAAACGCAAGCATGTCTCATCCAGCTCCACATAGCGGACCCTGGACTGGAAGATTATCTTGGAGGCCTCCGAGGAAAAGAGCGAGGCTTGTTGTCGCTTCACCTCCTGGAGATCCTCTGTGACATTCACCCCGTTGTCTGCGGCAGGAGTAGGTACTACATGGTTCCCTGGAGTTTGAACAGTTTTCCCCATCTATCTCTCACCTTCTAGGATAAAGAACCTCTTGACATTTCCCTTGGCTGTTTCCCAACAGTCCGCTGGAGATTCAAACCGGGGCTCCATGGCTCTCCAACCTGTGTAATCCCTTCTGAGCACCTGAATGTGTTCTGGGGTCAATAGTTTCACACACATCTCCTGTGTTCCCCTGCTAGCCCTATAGGACAGTCGATCAGTAGGCAGCAGTGGTTAGAGAAGAACACAGGCCTGACATCAGTGGATCTGACTGAGAACGTGTGCGACCCAAACAGGAGTTTAGATGTGCAAAGGTACAGGTCAGCCATTGTCTGTCAGAATAGCGAACAGACATAATGAAGTGAATGCCCTACCTCTAGAGACTAGTAACACATCACTCTAAGCACCACCTTTCTCCACTGCTTCTGTGTTGTCAGCTCCCTTTCCAGGTACAATCGTAGAATCCCTACAGTGTGGGAGCAGGCCATTCAGCCCATTGAGTCCCCACCAACCCTCCCAAGGACATTCCACCCAGACCCACCAACCTATTCCTGTATTTTCAATGGCTGTTCCACATCCCTATGGGGAAATTTAGCATGGCTAATCCACCCTACCCTGCACATCTTTAGACCGTGGGAAGGAACCAGAGCACCCGCAGGAAATCCACGCAGACACGAGGAAAACGTGCAAACTCCACACAGACAGTGGCCCGAGGCTGGAATCAAACCCAGGTCCCTGGTGCACTGAGGTAGCTGCGCTAACCACTGAGCCACCGTGCCACCACTGGGTGGGCTCAAGTTTTTACTAATTAAACAATGGGAAGATCAAAGCCATAGTCTTCTTCCCTTTTCATTGTTCCCTAGCTACTAACTCCCTCCTTTGCCTTAACCGGATGGTTAGCAACTATAGCATAAGCCTGAGCTAAGTTTCTAACTCAAATCCTCTCTAACGATCACACACTTTGAGTCATAGAGTCATACAGCATGGAGGCAGACCCTTCTGCCCAACTTGTCCATGCCAATCAGGTATCCTAAATTAATCTAGTCACATTTGCTAGCATTTGGCACATATCCCTCTAAACCCTTCCTATTCATGTACCCATCCAGATGCCTTTTCAATTTGTAATTCACTACTGCTATAACATTCCCTGTTTGTGTCTCTGCCCAACAGCTTCTGAAACTCACATCCACTGCTCTTGTAAGCTTCACACTTGACGGTTCTAATGCTACCCTCACCACCTTCCACCCTTAATAAAGAAAGTTCTCCTGCTCTTATCCCAACACACATATCGTAACATTCTCTGTAACCTCATGCTCGCTAATCTACATTGGCCCCCAGTTCAGAAACTCTTTGATTTTAATATTCTCATTCCCCCCTTCAAATATCTCTGTGTCCTCATCCCTCTCTATCTTTGTAATGTCTGCACAACAGGAAGGAGACATTTGGGGGGAATATACCTGCCATTAATAATGAATTAAAGCCAATTATTTACCATAACCAGCCACACATTTTTCCATCATTGGGGGTCAGACTTCTTTGGCAGGACCAGGATGGGAAACTTGGAATTTAATGGTTATTTCCTTCTGAGGAGATCCTTTCCATTGCTAGAAGGCTGTTTAATTAGTCGCTCTTGTTATTGCTATGATCCCTCTCACCCAGCCTACATTTCTATTCTGGGACTGGATTTCCCAAATAGAACAAAAAAAAAACAGGTTGTCATCAAATGTGGAGCTGCCTGTTTTCAATTTTTTTAAGTGCCTCCAGATTGCACCCTGTAGTTTCTGTCCCGGTCCCCTAACGAAACCTATTCCACTAGCTGAGAGCAGTGTTTTAATGAGGGAAAACGGACAAATAATCTCCATTAAAAAAAATGATTTAAGCCAGTTAGTAGCTCTATTCTGCTTACAGGACAGTTTTGTTTTCAACCTGGAGCTGAATTGCTTGATTTGGAATGGACTTGTTACCGTACTTTGGCAAGATCTTGTAAATAAAAGTTAATTGCAAGTAAGTTGGGAACATAGGAAAGTACAGAATGCAATAAAGTCCTTACAACCAAACTAACAAGTCCCAAAAATGAATACCTTTCCAAATTTTGATCCAATCCTTCCATTTATTTTCGCACCATCTGTGTCCATCATCTCCCTGAGCAATGAGACCAATGTACTAAACAGCTTAATGCTAGGTATTCGAATAACATGATTTCAATGTGCACCTCCAGTACATGCTACTGCAAGGACCATCTTGCTATCAGAAGATCTAAGCAATTGTTGAGTTCTTTTTTATTCATTTTATGGGATGTGGGTATTGCCGGCTGGACCAGCATTTATTGCCCGTCCCTAGTTGCCCCTTGAGAAGGTGGGGGTGAGCTGCCTTCTTGAACCGCTGCAGCCCACCTGCTGTGGGTTGATCCACAATGCCATCAGGGAGGGAATTCCAGGATTTTAACCCAGCGACAGTGAAGGAACGGCAATATATTTCCAAGTCAGGATGGTGAGGGGCTTGGAGGGGATTGTGAATGTAGTGGTGTTCTCATGTATCTGCTGCCCTTGTCCTTCTAGATGGAAGTGGTCATGGGTTTGGAAACTTACTGTAGTTTAATGTTGAAAGAAAGAAATGCAAAATCTAGACCCTAGTTTTATGTAAGCATAGAACTTTAGCTTTTTTCTTCATTTCTCTATTTTTGTGCCTAATCTATTTTAGTCTCTAAGGTTTTACAGTAGATTTGTAGCTCAGATTGTGGATGTTGTGGTTGGTTGGCTCACTGAGCTGGGTCGTTAGTTCGCAGACGTTTCATTACCCTGCTGGGTAACATCATCAGTGCAGCCTCCGATGAAGCGCTGTTGTGTTTTCCCGCCTGGTTTTTAAACTCTGGGGTCCGTTGAGCTGGGTTACCTCACTTCTGGTTTTCCTTCGCAGTGGTGTGTATACGGGGTCTAGCTCTATGTGTTTGTTAATGGCCTTCTTGGTGGACTACCGGGCTTCTAGGAATTCCCGTGCTTGTCTCTGCTTTGCCTGTCCCAGGATCCTGGTGTTGTCCCAATTGAACTGATGGTTCTCCTTATTCATGTGGATGGAAGTGAGTGAGTATTGGTTGCGTCTTTTTGTTGCTAGTTGATGTTCGTGTACTCCTGAGGCTAATTTTCTTCCTATCTGTCCAATGTAATGTTTCTCGCAGTCTTTTCAGGGAATCTTGTACATTACATTGGTTCTGTCCATAGTGGGTAAGGGGTCTTTGGCTCAGGTTAGCAGCTGGCGTAGGGTTGACGTGGGTTTGTGTGCTAGTCTGATGCCCAGTGGTCGTAGTAGCCTTGTGGTCAGATGTGTTCATGATATAAGGTAGTGTGATGAGTGTGTGGGGGTGTGTCGTATCTTGCTGGTGTTGTTCGTGTAATAGGCATCTTCTGACCCGATTGTTTGGGTATCTGTTGTTTTTGAATACTTTGTGGAGATATTCTTCTTCATTTTGGTGTAGTTCTGGGTTGCTGCAGTTTGTTGTTGCTTGTTTAAGTAGCGTTTTCATGCAACTTCTTTCTAAAATCTATTTTAGTACCTAAGATGTGTAACTAGGTATCTTTGTACCTAGGATGATGCCATAAGTGTGACATTACACACTTTTCACTGTACTCCTGTATCTTTGTACTTGAGTACATGTGACAATAAAACCTAATTCTAATTTTAAAGAGAGATGACAGTAAACTAGACAAATTTATTCAAAATAGCACATAGATATATCACCTGTAATGTAATGAAATGTTCCAAGGTTTGAAAGGAGCATTATCAAACAAAATATGACACTGCGCCACAACAGCAGATTATAAGTCAGAGCTTGGTGTAAGAGGAGAGTTTAAGAAACATGAGATACAGAAGAAGAGAATTTGTTGGTAAGAAAGTTCAAATAGGACCTAAGCAACTGAAGACTTGGCCACCAATGGTAGAGAGATTAAAATTGTGGGAAACATGGGAGGTCTGATTGAAAGGAATTCCAATGTCTGGGAGTGTTGGGAGCCTAGATGAGATAACAGAGACAGGCAGGGCTGAGTGAGGATATGGAGGGGTTTGAAAACAAGCATGAGAATTTTAAAAATCTTGAGCCAATGTAGGTTCAGTGAGGATGGTAATGTGTGATCAGGGCTTGCTGTGAAGTAGGACGCGGGCAACAGAGTTTTGGATGATGTCACGTTTACAGAGCTTAGAATTTGCGTGAGCAGCCAAGTTGGTATAGTTGAAATCAAGAGGGGATGAAGGGGTGAGCCGAATATTTCAACATGACAGTGACAGATCGGGGGAAAGTGTTCATAAAAAAGTGAATGTTAAACAGAACCGATTCACAGTGTGACTTTACTCCCACTACACCATGGGCCACAACTGCCCTGACCATAGATCCTAACCCCAGATCTCCTATGCACATATCAAACTTGAACTACAATGTGTTTTTTTAAGAAAAAGGACATACAACTAAAAGTTGATGGATATCTAAATTCAGTGGCTGCCTGAAGAAAGAGGTTCTGGAATGTCACACCTGATGAAGTGTCAAATAAGCTTCAAAGGGAGAAAAATGTGCTACACACTGAATTTGTAATCTTTTGGGAGTATTTAAACTGTGAACATGATGGTACAAAATGAAAGCAGTTTGGAGGATAAAGAATTGTACCTTCCCTTTTTACTACAGAGGGATAGAGGTTTAAAATGAACTTCAACCCTGGTCAATGTTTATCTGTGGCCTAATATCCTCCTGCCTGGACCAAGGTGCTGTGACATTACAACTCTGTAACCAACGATTTCAACAGCCATGCAATGCGTGTAAAACAATGGGAAACAAATCTCTCTTGTTCTACATGTTGCCAGTCAGCCGCTGCTGATAGGAATCAGAAAGAAAGAGCTTCAATCAACCTAGAAAGGTAAGAATCTCAAACTTTATCTGAACTATCAACATCAAACCTTTCAGTAACATCCACTATAATGGCCGCAATATTCAAGTAACTGCCCCTTGCAAACAATTCAGTGACTCTATATATCTTTTATTCTTTTTAGACTCACCTTTTATTTATGACCTGTGTGCATATGTGTTGAGTGACGATTTATCTTTGCTTTTAGTAATCAATAAACTCAGTCTTTTTTATTAATTCAAGAAAGCCTCGGTAAATTGGTTTTCTTCTAAAAAAAACATAATTCCGCCTAGGGCCGGGGAAATTAAGCCACATAACTCCTTTAAAGCAGGCCATTCAGCCATACTAACCCTCTGGAGAGCATTCCACCCCAACCCTGTATTTCCTTTTGGCTAATCTAGCTAGCCTGCATATTCCTGGTCACTACGGACAATTTAGCATGGCCAATCTTCCTAACCTGCGCATCTTTGGACTGTGGGAGGAAACTGGAGCGCCTTCTAAATAAACTTTCTTAATAAACACAATTATTGGTTTGCTTTCTAAACAAGAATTATTTTCAATGACAATGCAATAGTTGTAAACTGTACGAAGCCAGTAATATAGTAGCATATATGTTTAACCCTCTAATTAGCCCCAAAACGTGCACACAGACTTCCTAAAATGAGAAAAAAAAAATTATCTCCATATAGTGTGGAGCTGGATGAACACAGCAGGCCAGGCAGCATCAGAGGAGCAGGAAAGCTGACGTTTCGGGTCGGGACCCTTCTTCAGAAATGGGGGAGAGGGAAGGGAGCTCAGAAATAAATAGAAAGAGGAGAGGTGGGGCAGGGGAAGGTAGGTGGGATGGTGATAGGTGGATGCTGGTGGGGAGTCATGGGGATTGGTCAGTAGGATGGGTAGGGCAGATAGGTGGGAGAGAAGATGGACAAGTTGTGTTAGGTCAAGGAGGTGGGGATGAGAGGAAGGGTTGCTCATGGGATGAGGCCAGGGGTGGGGAGATTTTGAAACTGGTAAAGTCCACATTTAGGCCATCGGGCTGTAGGCTCCCGAGGTGGAATTATGAAGTGTTGCTCCTCCAGTTTGCGGTGGTGTCATTGTGACACTGGATGAGGCCCAGGATGGAGATGTCACCCAGGGAGTGGGAAGGGGAGGGTTAAAATGGTTTGTGACCAAACCATGGTGTTGTCATTTGTCACGAACAGAGTGCAGATGCTCCACAAAACAGTCTCCAAATCTACGTTTGGTCTCACCGATGTAGAGGAGGCCACATCGGGAGCAGCAGATGCAATAGACCAAGTTGATGGATGTGCAGGAGAATCCCTGTCTAATGTGGAAGGTTTGTTCTGTGCCTTGAATGGAGGTGATGGGGGGAGGTGTAGGGGCAGGTGTAGCGCTTCCTGCGGTTGCAGGGAAAGGTGCCAGGGGTAGTGGGGAGTGTGGAACGGATGAGGGAGTTGCGGAGAGAGCGGTCCCTATGGAAGGCAAATAGGGGTGGAGAGAGAAATATCTCTTTGGTTGTGGGGTCGGATTGCAGGTGGCAGAAGTGGCGGAGAATGATACGTTGGATGCAAAGGTTATTGGGGTGATATGTGAAGACAAGGGGAATTCTGTCTTTGTTTTTGTTGGGGGGAGGGGATGTGAGGGCAGAATTGCAGGAAATGTAAGAGATGCGTTTGAGGGCAATTTTGTTCACCGGAGGGAGCAGGTTGTGGTCCTTGAAATACGAGGACATCTGGGATGTTTGGGAGTGGAATGTCCCATCTTGGGAGCAGACTTGGCGGAGGTGGAGGAATTGGGAGTAGGGGATCACATTCTTGCAGGAAGGTGGGTGAGAGAAGGTGTAGTCCAGGTAGCTAAGGGAGTGGGTGGGCTTGAAACAGATATCAGCTTTGAGGTGGTCACGAGAGATGGAGACAGAGAGGTCTAGGAAGGGGAGGGAGGTATCGGAGATGGTCCAGGTGAATTTGAGGTTGGGGTGAAAGGTGTTAGTAAAGTTGATGAACTGTTCAAGCTCCTCGTGGGAGCATGAGGCAGCGCCAATACCGTCTTAGATGTAACAGAGGAAGAGGTGGGGGATAGTGCCAGTTCTTGCTATCTCTCTTGAAGTAAATCTATGTTTCCCTATTCCTTCAAAATTTAAGTCTTGCAAGAAATATAAAATATGAAGCATCTTCATAATAACATGCCTAAACAGCCTACTGGCCAAATATAAGGTTGTAATGATTAAAACAGTGAGGGACAATAAAAAAAGTAAAACAAAAGCCTCAGAACTGTCACTGATTTGGTGAGTGGATAACAGCAAAGGGTGGCCAAATGGGTAGAGAATCCTTACAGTGTGGAAGAAGGCCATTCAAGTTTGTACCAAACCTCTGAAGACCATCCCACCCAATAACCCTGCATTTCCTATGGCCAATCCCCCTAACCTACACACCTTTGGACTGTGGAAGGAAACCTACACAGATACAGGGAGAATGTGCAAACTCCACACAGACAGTTGCCCAAGGGCAGAATTGAACCTGGGTCCCTGGTATTGTGGGGCAGCACTGCTAACCACTGAGCCACCATATCACCTCAAGTGTAAAAAATGGAGTTTGAAAACATTCTTGTAAGATTTTGATCCCGGTTAATGGTAATACCAGATAAGAGAGATCACAGAAGAAAATCTGGCTCCATAGATTGTTTGAATCTCTGTGACATTAAATTTGAACCTTGATCTGATTGTATTTCTTTGCATAATACATATGTTGTAAAATAAATGAATTAGTTAATTCACTGTTATTTGTGTTGCTTTTTTTCATGAAAGTTACTCCATCAGGAAATCTTGTTAACACATCCATGACTGTGAAATTGTATTGATACACATTTCTAGTTTTCGGTTGGAGTCCAACAGGATTTTGCCGGGAATGGAGGGTCTGATTTGTAAAGAAAGGCTGGATAGGCTGGGACTTTTTTCCCTGGAGCGTGAGAGGCTGAGGGGTCACCTTATAGAGGTTTATAAAATCTTGAAGGGCATGGATAGGGTGAGCGGCAGGTGTCTTTTCCCTAGGATGGGGGATTTCAAGAATGGGGACATATTTTTAAGGTGAGAAGAGAGAGATTTAAAAAAGATATGAGGGGTAAATTTTTTACACAGAGAGTGGCTCGTGTGTGGAATGAACTTCCAGAGGAAGTGGTGGATGTGGGTACAGGTATAACATTTAAAAGACATTTGGATAAGTAGACGAATAGGAAAGGTTTGAAGGGATAGGGGCCAAATGCAGACAGGTGGGACTGGTTTAGTTTGGAAACATGGTCAGCGTGGACTGGTTGGGCCGAAGGGTCTGTTTCCGTGCTGTGTGACTCTATAACACAAACTATTAAGACCCTGTTGGGTGGCTCTATGGAGACTGGAATTAGAATTAGAGGAGAAGGTTTAATTGATGGCTGGGGTTATCCCAATACCTGACGTGTAAGGCATACCTAGCAAAAGATTCCCACATCTTTTTGTGACCTTAGCTAACACAAAATGTTTTGGCGTTTTATCCTATGTTTTCCTAACCACCAAGTGACTTGCCATTGGAATTTTGTGACTCATTTATAAAACATTGCTACAACACTCAGATTGGACTATAACCTGATAGCTGCCCATTCCTCAACAACTGGTATTTGTGTTGGTTTCCAATTCCTCATTAGTACTTTGCCTTTTACACAATAACACTCAGGTATTGGTTCTGATTCAAAATCATTAGGGTGTAAAGAAGGTGAATAACAAGGGTCTCTTCCCCAGGATGGGGGAGTTCAAAGCTTGGGGGTATAGGTTTCAGGTGAGAGGGGAAAGGTTTAAAAGGGACCTGAGGGGCATAGAGGGTGGTGTGTGTGTGGAATGATCTGCCAGATGAAGTGGTAGATGCGGGTACAGTTACAACATTTAAGAGACATTTGTACAGGTACATGGATAGGAAAGGTTTGGAGGGATGAGGACCAAATGCAGGCAAGTGGGACTAGTTTAGTTTGGGAAACTTGGTCAGCATCGACGAGTTGGACCGAAGGGTCTGTTTCCGTGCTGTGTGACTGAATGACCACCTTTTCACCACAACAGGCCTAGAGGACAAATTGGATTTTTAGCCAGCATTAGCAAGCAATTTGCTCCAGTATCTCTCAATATCTTTATTGGCTAACTTCCTTTGTTTGAAGAATAAGAAATATCTCTCCTTTTGAAAGGAAACATGTTTTCATTGTACCACATGACTGCTTTTATACTCATTTCTTTCTGGATGCCTACTGTTACAAGGATTCCTTTGGCATTCCTATTACTGCAATCAGTCTCCCATTTGACTTAAATCCATTGGCTTTGGTACACCTGGTCTTATTACTTGTTATTTTCATTTGCAGCTTCTGGCCTTTTTCCTGCGTTACTTTGGCATCCTACTGTTAGTTCCCTGAACCTAATACTGTTTCCATCTGCAGTTTTTCTAATGCTCCAATTCTCCTTTAGATTTCCATGTGACTACTATCCTACATGTAACTGTCTGTGTGAGCTACCATAAGTATCTGCCAGGACTGTTACTTCTGAACCTTTTGATCCTTGAAGCTCATCTAAATAAGTTTAACGTTTACTGGAATACTATTTCTCAATCTTTCCATAATTCTGATTTCCTTTATACTGTTAAACATTTTCTCCAACTTCTGTGATCAAAACCACTGATTGTACACAATGGAGTATTGACCCTTCTGAGGAATTATCTCTGATTTCTCTCCACTGATGCTGCCTTCATTGCTCAGCTTTTCCAGCAATTTCTGTTTTTGATTGTGTACTATTTCTGTTTATCTTGCAAATCTGGATTTTGATTTGGATTTTTTTTTAGATTTTAGATTTTATTGTCACGAGGACTCAAGTGCAGGAGTACAGTGAAAAGTGTATAATATTGCCACACAAGGTGCCAACTTAGGTACCAAGGTACCTAGGTACAGACATTTTGGTTCAAAGTACTAAAAGAAACAGAGTTAAAACGTTAAGCATTATCTTCGCAGAACAAGTAGAAAAATTAAGAAATAAGGTAATAGTTAACATTAAAGTCCATAAGTGCCTGATTAGATTTCTTCCTTAAAATCCTACATTTTAATTGACAAACTTCAGGAACAAGATCATTGGATTAAGTTTTTTTTTTAACAGTTTCATAATCTGCTGTTGTTCTTCTGAAAAAGTGATGTACTGCTCTATAATTAATGCCCAATTCATCCTTTGACAACTTCCTCTGCCCAGTTGCCTACTCAAAATGAGGTGAAATGTTTCTCTCACTCTACCCTCAGTAAATTTAGGCACCAAATGTAAGTTCTAGTTAAATCAAACCTCTCATCTCCTGAGGAAGTATCCTCTGAGCCACTGCCTCTTCTTTCTTCCTTTATTCTTCCTTCCTTCTCCCTCTCTCTGAGACATTTCGTCTGCATGGAGTTCATGCTTTGTAGGTCACTGTTCCAACTGGCTTTCTGGCCTTTTTTTAAAAATAAGCTTCATGAACAGACCTGCATCCATCTGTCTCTATTAGGAAATCCAAATCCTAAAACATAATATCTATTCTACACCTTTCATCGCATAAAGGATATTAAAACCAGAACAATAATCTTTTAAATTGTTATGTCAAGGAAAAAGAGGTAGTTATGAGTAATATAGGTCTCTTGAAAACTAGTTGGTGAATTGAGGATGTGACAGATATATTGACTTTTCTCCCAAGACATTGTTTGCTATCAGGAGAAACATAACAACACTGATGGTGATTAGTAGAATTCACAGTAATATTTTGATAATGCATTGTCTAATGAATAAATCTAAACCGAATGAAGGTCGACAAAACATAGAATCCTAATGTGGAAGCAGGCTGTTCAGTCCACATGGACCCTCCAAAAAGCATCCCACCTGATCCTTGTAATCCTGCATTTTCCCCATGGCTAACCCACCGAGCCTGCACAATTTCCCATGGCCAATCTACCCAACCTACACATCTTTGGACTGTGGGAGGAAACCCATGCTGACACAAGGAGAATGTGCAAACTCCACACAGAGTCATCTGAGGCTGGAATTGAACCCAGCTCCCTAGTGCTGTGAGGTAGCAGTGCTAACCACTGAGCCACCGCACCACCCCTCATCAGCTCCTTCAGTAACAATCCGGAAGGAATTTTACACAACAAAATACAACGGTTTTTTTTTGAAGGCATTTACCTGAAGTTATAGTAACTCAAATTGATTGCGTTCAGCTTGCTGCGTGGCTAAAGAAATTTCAGTGCTCAAGAGTGGGAAAAAGAAATGATGTGCAGTCTGTCTTGAGCCAAGCACAACATGTGTGAGTCTGTGCTAATGAGTTAACGTAAGTGGACCTGCATGTGTACAGTATAAAATGAGAAAGCAGAGAGAGAGAGAGAGCGAGAGAGAGAGAGAGACAGAGAGAGGAGATAGGAGATAGGAACGTGAGGACAGGAGAGGAGGTACAGGAGAAAGGAGTGGGAGGGGAGTGGAGGAGAGAGACAGTTTGGAAAGAGAAAGGTTAGAGAGACAACAGAAAAATACACCAAAAATTAAAATAAAGAAATTTGGAGGAGACTATAGAGGAAGACAAAGACATCCAGGCAAAAGCTGCTAAGAAACGAACCAGAGACATTTTTGACCATCTTCTCCAGCTCAGTAAGTCTTTCCATTTATAGTTTGAATATTTTAAGATTGCTCCACATTGTTGTAATGCCTAGTTTTCTTAAAATGGTTTATTTCTGCTCTTATTAAATCTCATATCAAAGCTCACCCTACTGTCCCTCCCCAGTTTCCTTTATTGTCCCTGTTTGCTGCCCAGCTTTCACCTCTGTTTCCTCTCTTTCGTAAGGTAGTGTCCTCATCAACTGGAGGGAGAGCTAATTTCCACAAGATCACTGTGGCGAGGTGTGGCAGGAGGCTTTGAGAATGACCTCAGCTAGCACAGGGACTGAAACCTGGCTGTTGGGATAATTGAGCACCACACTCTCACTCTAACCTCCTCAACTCACCAGCTCCCGACTCCCAGCCTGCTTTACGTTAATGCAAAAAGTGTCAACAAAAGTTCTGTTTTTACCCTTGAGGGCAATTTGTGTTATGATTGAATGGAAGAACAATCCATTGGATTCTGCTAGGGTCGTGTCAAATTTTCCCTCCTCTACACCACCCAGATGATATTTATATGCTAAAGGGTTAAAGATACTTCAATCTCAGTGTGTTTTAACACAACCTGATTGAACAGGCAGAAGCTAACAAATTTCGGTATTAAGATTTTTCGATATGCAGGTGAAATGTCTTTTTAAATGCTTTCAGTTTCTGTGTTTCAAGTGGTCACAGTTATCAGTCCCCAACCTTTTTCAGATTCCTGCTGTATTCCTGGCCAATGCTGATATTTTATGCAAGTTCACTCAGGATTTTTGAGGCCCAATTGTTTTCTCTTTGTCTCTCTCATCTCCACCAGGTTTTGAAGCTAAAAACAAGAGTCTGAAAAGCACCTGGGGGATATATTTAATATTGGTCTTAAAAATGGACTTTCATTATTCTAATTATCTGGAAATGTTATCTCCAAATGTAATATCGTTCAGTGATTGACTGCACATTTCTTGTCAGATAAAAACCTCTCCAATTCAAAATGTCAGCCATAATTGGGGTGAATGGGCAGGGGAGATAATTGGACACTGGCCACTGATGATGATAACTCCGAGAAACATGGAGATTAATTTTAAACTTTACATCTGAGACAAACTTCACCCCCGTACTGTCTCCCACAATCCTGTCAGGATAATCTATCTGTTTTTTTTTTGTAAATTATCAGTTTCATTGTTCATCTCTTGATTTGATGCAATTGTAAAATATTTCGAATGAATTCCTCCACCTCCTGATTGTATTTTCTCTGTATCCTGTGCCTTACTCCTTCCCCTGTGCCCCCTCCAAGGGCTCATCTCTTTCTCTAACACATTAGTACATCTAATTAATAACAGATTATGGTTTTTTTTATTTCGCAGAGGCATGTTAATGAGTGGAAACAGTCTAATACAATATCGTACCATGTTATCCTCTTTCCCTCTCACACATGCAGGTGATCCAATGGAGTCTCTCATTCGTCTGTGGCTTTGGAATGTTCTGGAGCTGTTGTGCCTCACTATCTCTGCTGGTGGCCACTCTTTCTTGCCCTGTCCCTCTCATGGTGCTGCCTCATACTCACTGACATTTGAAGGCAAATGGAAACCTAGTGCCTTCCCCAAACAGTACCCAATGTACAGACCTCCTGCACAGTGGTCACCCCTCATAGGTACGAGAACAAATACCTTCTTGGGCAGCAAGACTAAAGCAGACTGTAGGAGGGGCAAGGAGAGTTTTGGGGAAGTAATAGGTAACTGAAAATCTCCTCATATAAGTATATAAACCCCTCTTAGTGTACAACTGCACACATAGACTTCAAATTTCTCCTCCATCACTTTACTGCAGGAACTGACTTTTCGGCTTTCCTGCAGGTTAATTCCTCTATTGCAATATAGAGAGAAGAAGGATGTTACTGAGATTGGATGATTTGAGGTTGAATGGGCTGGGACTATTTTCCCTGGAGCGTCGGAGGCTGGGGGGTGACTTTATAGAGGTTTATAAAATCATGAGGGGCATGGATAGGGTGAATAGACAAAGTATTTACCCCAGGGTGGGGGAGTCCAAAACTAGAGGGGCATGGGTTTAAGGTGAGAGGGGAAAGATTTAAAAGGGACCTGAGGGGCAACTTTTTCACAAAGAGGGCAGTGCACGTATAGAATGAGGTGCCAGAGGAAGTGGTAAATGCAGGTACAGTTACAGCATTTAAAAGGTATTTAGGTAGGCACATGGATAGGAAAGGTTTAAAGGGATATAGGACAAAGTCAGGTAAATGGGATTAGTACAGTTTGAGAAACCTCGTGGGCAAGGTGGACAAGTTAATTATAAAATGCCACTATAAAGTGCTGTTAAATTAGACAGTGAGGAATAGCGTTTGACTGTGTTAAGTAGTTGATGGTGAGTCAGCAGTCTGTTTCAAATCTCTCTCCAATTGCAGCTAATAAAAATACAAATCAGGAGAGTGGAAAAAACAGAGTGCAGATATTCTCTAATTTGTTAACCCTGTCAGAAAATATCTGCACCTGAGTAATTGTTTAATCTTTGCTAGCCTGAGTCGTTTAGTTGTTTGTCGTCTTGACTTAACTATCACCCAGTGGGTGGCATGGTGTTCATTGGTTAGCACTGCTGCCTCGTGGCACCTAGGACCTGGGTTTGATTCCACCCTTGGGCAACTGGTGTTTGCACAATCTCCCTGTGTCTGTGTGGGTTTCCTCCGGGTGCTCCGGTTTCCTCCAACAGTCCAAAGATGTGCAAGTTAGGTGAATTGGCCATGTTAAATTGCCCATAGTGTACAGGTTAGGTGGGTTAACCATGGGAAATACAGGGTTATGGAAATAGAGTAAGGGGAAGTGGTTCTAGGTGGGATGCTCTTTGGAGGGTTGGTGTAGACTCAATGGGCTGAATGGCCTCTTCTGCACTATAGGGATTCTATGATTCAAGGAGATCACTCAATAACTTGAGGAATGCTTTATGCTGAGTTAACCACTTAATCTTCCAATGCAGCCGTCACTCACAATGATGAATACCATCTCTGGCAGTTGGATTCGCTGGCCAGAGCTGGAGTACAGGAATACACTGAGAAAGGAACTCACACTATACTTGCACAGGAGGTGGAAGAAACCAAAAACAAGATGCACAGCATCGCTGGATTCTTCAAGGGACCAGCTATTCCAAGTGGAATAGGACAGAGGTTAATGAAATTTACAGTCTACCCAACACATCCACTGGTAAGGAATTGGTGATGCAGTGCTGTTTTGTATATTAGATAGACACCTAACTCAGTAATTTGAGGATGGCGTTGGGGGAAACACAGAAACCCATGGATATGTTCTACTGAGGTGCCAATGGAAACATTGTGAACCTCAGTGTAGATCTGGCGATTTGTTTGACTTTTAGTTCCAGAGTTTGGACCTCTATTTGGAAGTTAGTTGATGTTACAGTTAACATTCAGAAGATGCCAGCTGCTGATAGCAACATGTCTCGGTGTGCTGAGGCAACAAGCCTTTCCCAAATCTCTCCAGGGCCCGTAAAATGTTCAGGCAGGGCATGCTAGACAGTGGCTTGAGCCAAGTGGGCCAGTTTCACAAACCTCTTGGTTTGAGAGAGACCAAAGATACGGTCCAGGCACGTGCACGTTCAGAGAATTATAGAATCCTTACATCCCTGTGGATGCAGGCCATTTGACCATTGAGTCCACACTGCCCCTCCATAGAGCATCCTACCCAGACCTACCCCATTCCTGTAACCCTGCATTTCCCATGGCCACTCCACCTAACCTGCTCAGCATTGGACTGTGGGAAGAAACCAGAGCACCCAGGGGAAACCAACACAGACAGGGGGATGAACACACAAACACCACACAGACAGTGACCCAAGGGTGAGAATTGAACCAAGGCCTCCTGCAACATGCAGCAGTAGTGCTAACCACTGAGCCACCATGCCACTCCTTAGATGGATTAGCCATAGGAAATGCAGGGTTACAGGAATTATTGTGTAATCTATCTCTCTCTCTTTCTCTCTCTATCTGTCTCTTTTCATCTCTCTATCTCTCTTTCTCTCTCTCTCTCTTTCTCTCTTTTCTCTTTATCTCTCTGTCTCTCTCTCTCTCTATCTCTCTCTCTTTATCTCTCTCTCTCTCTTTCTCTCTCTCTATCTCTCTTTCTCTTTCTCTCTCTCTCTCTCTCAAGCAATTATGTGTTTTCTTTTCTGTTGCTTGCTTTTTGGAATTTTAATGGCAATCAAAGGGAAGAGATTAGGAGTTGCGGGGCGATGTGGGGAGACCTATTCTAAGGTGATGTTTTAATGAGTCACATGGAAAACTGTATCCTTTCACTGTGGTTTGATTGTTCCTCAGCTATCCTTCATGGTTCGCATAGTGCCCAGCCCTGACTGGTTTGTCGGCGGTGATAGCATCATTCTATGTGAGGCGAATCACTGGAAGGAGCTTGTCACCCTTGACCTTTACCCTTATGATGCTGGGACAGACAGTGGCTTCACGTTTTCTTCGCCTAATTTTGCAACGGTTCCCCAGGACAAAATAACACAGGTAATTAGTTGCAACTTCTGACTGCACATTTGTGATTAGGTTTGAGGTGCAAAATGAACGAGGCAAAGGAAATACATGAGAGAAAAGTCTGAACTTTGCATTGATCTCCACACAGAAATCACCCAATATGTGGGCTATGGCCTCTGTAGTTTATTAAAAGATCACTTTCGACAACAGTGAGTTGTACCACATGACTGCACTCATCAGTCTCCACTGGAGTTAACATTTTGGTTACGAAGAGAAAAGATGAAAAAATAATTCAATAAAACTTAAGTCTTTCCGATTTTTGACCATTTTCCAAAACAGAAATTTGGTGAAAATCTCCTGTGTTACGAAGACTTGGTTGAAACCACTGGTGATATGATCCCATTGATGTGGTGGAAACACTTGACAGAAACACATTTACAAAATGTCCAGAGTCTGAGGCGATCAAAAACAAACTCCTGGAGATCCCAGTGCTGCTCAGACACATCGCCTAGTTTCCCCTACCCAGCTCTTTTTCTTATGAAATCAACATTAATTACATTGCATTGAACTCTGGATTTTAACATTTCACTGAGAGCGTCAGTTAACATTTCTTAGAATCCCTACAGTGGGGAAGCAGGCCATTCAGCCCATTGAGTCTACACCGACCCTTTGAGTAGCATCCCACACAGACCCACCCCTTCACCCTCTCCCTGTAACCCCATATTTCCCATGGCCAATCCACCTAACCTGTACATCCTTGGATTTGTTTATAAAAACACATGATTGATTGCAATTCATTTATCCAAGCCAAAGAAACTTGCAGTTTCAAACCTACAATTCATTCAGTTCCTCCTGCACATCGGTACTGTACTGCAGGCTGCACCAGCAAGGACACTCGGTGCTCAGGGGCATCAACCCAGTTTATGGTCTGCACCAAGCTGCATCTCTGCTCTCTTTGCTTGCTTCATGCACTCTGAGCCTCCCTGCATGCTCACAGTGGCCATCCTTTCCACTGGCTTAATTTGTTCCCTCAGCCAGAGACTGCAGGATAATATTACTGCTGTCTTGCTGTGCCATTTAGCGTGTACGCAAAGCTAGAGAGCTCGTCCTGACGATCAGCAGGACCATAGTTGTCCTCAGTCAAGTCAAGGGGATAGCCTTCACTCCACAGATCCACCACAGTAAGTCAAGGGCTGCCTGCAAGGGCATGTCCAGAGATTCTCTGACCAATTTTTAGAGGTTCACCATAGAAAGCATTCTATCTGGGCACATAGTGGTTTGGTACGGCAACTGCTGCGTCCAGGACCATGAGAAACTAGAGAAAGTTGTTAACACAACCCAACCCATCACACAAGCCAACCTCCCATTCATTGACTCCATCTATACTTCTCGCTGCCTCGAGAAGGCAGCCAACATCATCAACGACCACTTTCACACCGGCCATAATCTCTTCCAACCTCTTCCATTTGGCAGAAGATCCAAAAGCTTAAGCACATGCACCAATAGGTTCAAAACAGTTTCTTCCCCGCTGTTATTAGATTTCTGAATGGACCTCTCAAATTCCAAATTTAATGTGATCTCACTCTCTGTGCGCATTCTCTGCAGCTGTAACATAGTATTCCTCGCTCTGTTCTATTACCCTAATGCACTTTGTACTGCATGCAAAACAAAACTTTTAACTGTACTCAGGTACATGTGACAATAATAAATCAAATCAATTCAAACCAAATCACATCAAATCCATATCACTCCAGGGCATGTCAAGGATGGTCAGAGACAGCTTATTCTCCTCATTAGTGGTGAGGAGCTAAAAGATAGTTGCCACATAGAGTTATAGAGTTGTACAGCACTGAAACAGACCCTTCAGTCCAATGCTCGTCCATGCCGACCCGATATCCTAAATTAATCTAGTCCCATTTGCCAGCATTTGGCCCATATCCCTCTAAACCCTTCCTATTCATGTACCCATCTAGATGCCTTTTAAATGTTGTAATTATACCAGCCACCACCACTTCCTCTGGCAGCTCATTCTATACACGCACCACCCTCTTTGTGAAAAAGTTACCCCTTAGGATCCTTTTAAATCTTTCCCCCCTCACCTTAAACCTATGGCCTCTAGTTTTGGACTCCCCCACCCGGGGGAAAAATCCTTAGCTATTCACCCTATCCATGCCCCTTGTGATTTTATAAACCTCTACAAGGTTACCCCTCAACCTCCAATGCTCCAGGGAAAATAGCCCCAGCCTATTCAGCCTCTTTCTGTATCTCAAACCCTCCAACCCTGGCAACATCCTTGTAAATCTTTTCTGAACCCTTTCAACTTTCACAACATGTTTTCTATAGCAGGGAGATGAGAACTGCACGCAATATTCCAGAAGTGACCTCACCAGTATCCTGTACAGCCGCAACATGACCTCCTAACTCCTATACTCAATGCACTGACCAATAAAAGCAAACATACCAAGCGCCTTCTTCATTATCCTATCTGCATGTGACTCCACTTCCAAGGAAGTATGAACTTGCACTCCAAGGTGTCTTTGTTCAGCAACACTCTCCAGGACCTTACCATTAAGTATGTAAGTCCTGCTCTGATTTGCCTTTCCAAAATGCAGCACCTCACATTTATCTAAATTAAACTCCATCTGCCACTCCTCAGCCCATTGACCCACTGATCAAGATCCCATTATACTCTAAGGTACATTGTACTTCTTCGCTGTCCACTACACCTCCAATTTTGGAGTCATCTGCAAACTTACTAACAATAACTCTTATGTTCACATCCAAATCATTTGAATAAATGATGAAAAGCAGTGGACTCAGCATCGATCCTTGAGGCACACATCTGGTCACAGACCTTCAGTCTGAAAAACAACCTTCCACCACCACCCTCCGTCTCCTACCTTCAAGCCACTTCTGTATCCAAATGGCTAATTCTCCCTCTTTTTCATGTGATCTAACCTTGCTAACCAGTCTACCATGTGGAACCTAGTCAAACGCCTTACTGAAGTCCATATAGATCAAGTCTACCGCTCTGCCCTCATCGATCCTCTTCATTACTTCTTCAAAAACCTCAATCAAGTTAGTGAAACATGATTTCCCACGCACAAAGCCATGTTGACTATCCCTAATCAGTGCTTGTTTTTCCAAACACATGTAAATCCTGCCCCTCAGGATTCCCTCCAACAATTTACCCACCGCTGATGTCAGACTCACCGATCTATAGTTCCCTGGCTTTTCCTTACTAACTTTATTAAATATTAGCACCACATTAGCCAACCCCCAGTCCTCTGGCACCTCACCTGTGGCTATCCACGATACAAATATCTCAGCAAGGGGCCCACCAATCACTTCCCTAGCTTCCCACAGACTTCTAGGGTACACCTGATCAGATCCCGAGGATCTATCCACCTTTATGCGTTTTAAGACATCCAGCACCTCCTCCTCTGTAATATGGACATTTTTCAAGATGTCGCTATTTATTTCTCCATGTTCTCTATCTTCCATATCCTTCTCCACAGTAAACACTGATGCAAAATGCTCGCTTAGTATCTCCCCCATCTCCTGCAGTTCCACACATAGGCAGCCTCGCTGATCTTTAAGGGGCCCTTTTCTCTCCCTCGTTACTCTTCTGCCCTTAATGTATTTGGAGAATCCCTTTGGATTCTCCTTAAACCTATTTGCTAAAGCTATCTCATGGCCCCTTTTTGCTCCTCCTCATTTCCCTCTTAAGTATAATCTTACTGCCTTTAAACTCTTCTAGGGATTCACTCGATTTCTGCTCTCTATACCTGACATAAGCTTCCTTCCTTTTCTTGACCAAAACCTCAAGTTCTCTAGTTATCCAACATTCCCTACACCTACCAGCCTTACCCTTCAACCTAACAGGAACATACTGTCTCTGGACTCTTATATCATTTTTGAAGGCTTCCCAGTTTCCATCAGCCCTGAGTCAACTTTTGAACGTTCTTGCCTAATACCGTCAAAATTGGCCTTCCTCCAATTTAGAACTTTAACTTTTCGATCCAGTCTATCTTTTTCCATCTCTATGTTAAAACTAATAGAATTATGGTCACTGGCCCCAAAGTGCTCCCCCACTGACACCTCAGTCACCTGTCCCTGCCTTATTTCCCCCAAGAGTGGGTTAGGTTTTGCATCTTCTCTAGTAGGTACACCCACATACTGAATCAGAACATTTTCTTGTGCAACTTAAGAAATTCCATGCCCTGAGTTCATCTGCCTTACCTGTTAATCTTCTTGCATTGAAATAAATGCGGTTGAATTTATCAGTCCTGTCTTGTACTCTGCCTTGTTCCTGCCTGCCCTGGCTGTTTGACTTGCTCCTTTTCCCACTGCACCATTCTCCGACTGATCTCTTTCCTCAATCCCTCCCTAGGTATCACCCCCAAATCCCCCCTTACTAGTTTAAATCCTCCCGAGCAGCTCTAGCAAATCTCCACGTCAGTATATTAATCCCCTTCCAATTCAGGTGCAATCTGTCCTTATACAGGTCACTTCTACCCCAGAAGAGATCCCAATGATCCAAAAATGTGAATCCTTCTCCCCTACACCAGCTTCTCAGCCACATATTCATCTGCTCCATCCTCCTATTCCTACCGTCACTAGCTCATGGCACTGGGGTTAATCTAAAAATTACTACCCTCGAGTACTCCCTTTGTAAATTCCTGCCTAACTTCCTATATTCTCTCCTCAGAATCCTGTCCTTTTCTCATTCTATGTCATTAGTTCCAATGTGTATGACAACCTCCTGCTGGTCCCTCTCCCCTTTGAGGACATTCCGTGCCCTCTCTGAGACATCCTTGATTCTGGCAGTCAAATTGACTCACTTTACCCTGTTTTCCTCAGGAGTGAGAAGTGAGGGGACAGATAATACAGGAGATGAAAGTGGGCGCAGTGTCGGTGCAGGTGAATGAGTAGGTCCCCGGTAGGTGAGAAGGAATTGCAGAGGGCGTGCAATAGGTGTTGGGGTGTTGGGGTGGTTGGAGGCGATTGAGGGAAAGTGTTGCTGGTAATAGTTAGAGTAATACAGCACGAGC